GGACCCCACGCACCAGCTCCCGGAGCTCCAGCTTCAGCTTCTCGATCTGCCTGCTCAGGTAGCTCTTCAGGGCGGCCTGGAACCTCAGCATCAGGGGCTAGAGCAAAGGCAGGCACCGGCTAGTCTCCTGTCCCGTCCCTGCCTCAGCCCGGGGTGTTCTTCTTGGGGGGCTGAGGGGGGCAGGAACGACTCCCACGCTGGGTGCTCACCCCTTCTGCCCCAGCGTCTTACTCTGGAAGCCACAAGGTAAAGGCACTGGAGGTCTCGGCCTGGGCACTGAGGACCTGAGCGCGGATTTTGGCAAAAGGATGGGGCAGGCGGGGGCGGTGATCCAGGTCCCAGTGAGCACGCAGGCCCCTTCCCAGGGCCGCCTCCTGCGGGACAGGATCGCGGTGCCTCCCAGGTGGGTTCATACAATCAGGACTTGCCTTCCCCGCCTGCCCAGATGCCCCCACCACAAGAATGACCGGTCCCTAACGTCCGCGGTGCCAAGGCCGAGAAAGGCTGACTCTGGGTCTGTGGCCCCAACAGGAGACAACGCCGTGCAAAGCAGGAGGCCAAGACCATGCGGCCCAACTGTTCAGTGGACAAGTGACACGGGGACAGCGTTTGGGAGACAGGGTGGCCCGTGGAGGCCGAGGCAGAGAGGGGCCTAACTGTCAGGTGAAGGGACGCCTCTGCGTCGTCCGTGGTCTGTGCAGAACCGGGGAATCTTTCCTTACGTGGTTCGGGTCCAAGACCACCAGGTGGGGCGTGTCTTCATCAGCCTCCTCGCTCCCCTCGGACTCCGCTGGCCCCGAGACCCCTTCCTCCGAGAGGGTTAACTGTTGGATCCTGTCCAGGAAGGAGGGCGGGGGCCCTTCCCTGGGGTGGGCGCTGGACTCGCCTGGCGCGATGCCTGGGGGACAGCAGGCGTCACTGAGTCAGTAGAGATGGTAGTGAGGCAAAGCCGGTGTCCAGCCTCTGCCACGTGAGGGAGACGAGAGAAAAGGGCCCCGGAGGGCTGGGGTGCAGAGCGCCCATCCAGTCGTCTGTCCGCCGATCAACATGCTCCACACAGGGAGCCACACACGTAAGAGCAGACAGAAAGCTGGCTTCTTACCGATGGGCTAGGTTGATTTTTATTTTTTTAAAATCCACACCTGATATTTTTCCCATTGCTTTTCGGAGTGAGTGGAAGGAGGGGAGAGAGAGGGAGAGAGAAACATGGATGTGAGAGAGACAGGTCAGTTGGCTGCCTCCTGCACATGCCCCGTCCAGGGACCGAGCCTGCAACTGAGGTACGTGCCCTTGGCCAGAATCGAACCCGGGACCCTTCAGTCCGCCGGCGGACGCTCTAACCACGGAGTCAAACCCACCAGGGCTAGATTGATTTTTTTTTTTAAAGAATAGTTTGTTGATTTTTAGAGAGTGAGGGAGAGAGAGAAACATCGATGTGAGAACAAAATATCCACCGGCTGCCTCCTGCACGCCCCCTTCCGGGGACCAAGCCCACAGCCCGGGCATGTGCCCTGACCGGAAACTGAACCAGCGGCCTTTCAGTGCTCGGCACGTGGCCCAACCAACGGAGCCACAACTGAGCCGGGACTAGGCTGATTTTTTTTTTTAAACGGGAAACAGCTGATAAGATGGAAAAGAAATGAAAATATCAGTGAGTCCGTGGTTCCAGCTTCTCTACCCGCCTGAGCTTTTAGCTCCTCTAGACGTGTGTAGCTTTACGTTGCTCGTGAGTGACACGCTTGTGTCACATGCAGTAATTCGTGTCCTGACCTGCCTTCCAGAGTGCATAACACCGGGACACGGGGGCCAAGGAAAAAGACAAGGGCCGCGGGAAAGCCTTTGACGCTCGGCAAACACACGCACGTTCAGGGCCGCCGAGCTCCAGCCTGAGGCCAGGCGGCTGCGGACACGGAGCTCAGGGCTGGGGGCCAGGGCGTCACCGGGTCCCGGCTGGGGCCTGGTTCTACCACTTACTCAGGTGACTTATTGAACAACTCAGGGTCTTTGTAAAGCAGACAACAGCTCCCACCTCCTCAGTTACCGTAAGGATGAAAGGGGACGAGACCGTCTCCCCGCCGTGAATGTTATCCCTGTCTACCAACATTTTTATCTTTAGGCTCACAGCCAAGCAGGAAACGAGGTCACGGGTGGGACGTCCCTGGCACAGAAGGGACCTGGCTTGTGGGCGAGGGCCGTGGTACCTGGCTCCCATGCCAAAGGCTCCTCCGTGGTCCGGGACAGCTCGTCCGAGGCTGGGATTCGGCCCCTGTGGCTCAGCCCCTGGGGGGAGGCCTCTTGCTGGAGATCCTCTTGGGATTCTTCCTAGAGCAAGAACAACCAGCCTGAGGCCCTGAGGCTCAACCGGGACGGAGGAGTTACCCATTCAGCTCGCCACGGCGCTCGGAATTCAACGCCACCGTTACAGGAATGGAAAACTGCTTGGATATAAAGATTATCTGGATTTTGCAGGTGGTCAGAATGGAAATCGTCTACCCCCCGCCCGCAAATCCAGACAATGGATGCAGGGCCTGTAAGTGCTGAGGAATGGCCATGCTGGGCGTGGGTTTCTTTCCTCCAAACCCCAGTCCCCAAGGACGGTGCACGGCGTCTCTGAGCAGCGTCCGGGAAAGCCCCGGCCTGCAACGGTTTCCCAGGAGGGCTGTTTCTTTTCCTTCAAATCACTCATGTTAGGGACATTTTGATAAGAAAATATTTCCTGCCCAGCTGGCCTGGCTCAGTGGTAGAACATCGACCTAGAATCCAGGAGATCGGGGTTCGATTCCCGGTCAGGGCCCCTGCTGCGTTTCGGGCTCCATCCCCAGTAGCGGGCGTGCAGGAGGCAGCCACGCAATGACTCTCTCTCGTCACTGATGTTTCTATCTCTCTCCCCCTCTCCCTTCCTCTCTCTGAAATCAATAAAAACATATTTTTTTAAAAGAATATAAAAAAATAAAATAAGCTTACACAATGTTATATACTTTTTTTTTTTTAAAAGAAAGAAAATATTTCCCCTCGATGAAAACACCAGGCCCCGTTTTAGTTTTAAAAGAGACTCTTGCAAATAGTATTTTTGACCATAATCATTGCTGATGATACAGTGGCGAATATTAGTGACAAGAGGGACCCCGGGAGGGAGACACTGGCCCTTTGTTTTACCGGCGGGAGAAGCGGCCTCACAGAAGCTACAGACCTGGCCCGAGTTCCCACAGCCAGCCAAGGGCAAGTTCAAGGTCAGGCTCTCAAGCCTCAGGCAATGC